CCTGAGGAGCTGTTTTGTTTGGCGTTTGTAGTTCTAAAAATAAAGTTAGTTTCTTTTGACAAGTGGCTCCTGAATTGTGCCCAGACAGACTGCGGCACCCCTCGTTGCCACACATTCGGTCCATAAGCACGGACTTCACTTTCTCAGGTACTTTCTCTTTCTTCACAGACACCCATTTTTTTCAGGCTTGAACTATTCCAACAGCATCCACAATAAGATGTAGGGGTCATTATCTGGGAGAGTGGTTTGGTTGTGGGGATAGTATCTGGAGAGCATGAAATTCACCCTTGTGACTCTCTTTAATTACACAGGTCAGTGACATAAAGGATCTTCACGATGCTGTACATCGAGAAAAGATTTAAGGGTCTGTCCTTTCGTCTCTTAGGTCCAGCCCTGAGCCTCAGTGCCCCAGAGTGGGAGGCTGCAGTCACAATCCAAGGGCAACTCCAGGTCTCAGTCCTACAGTACAAATCCTCCCAGGACCCAAGACCTGCCACAAAGTCATGGCTGGGAAGATGCTGGCTAACCAGGCTGCCCTGTCTCTGGGGATGAGACAAGTCCTTTCTGGCCTGGGTTGCTGGTGACATGGAGAAGAAGACAGGTGCTGGGGGCAGGGGCAGGGTGATCATTGCAAGGGAGAGGATTCCTACTCAGGCAGAGGAGGGGCAGAAGGCCTCCACCTGAGCCTAGGGGCAGCCTCAATTTCCTGCTCTCCTGAAGGCTGAAGTTCACGATGATGTTTTCAGGAAGCTGTGTCCAGCCTCCTTCTGACCAGGTTTTTCTTTCCTGGTAAAGGTGCTGCTTTGGCTGAGACAAACTTAGGGGTGCATATTCAAATCCTCAAGTGATACCAAAAGTTTGAGACCATTGAAGCTGTCATTTATGAAATGTCTTCATTTGAAGAGTCAGTGCTTCTAGTTCATTGTTGATTACTAAATGATGGGAGGGGTCTCAGAGCCCCTTTGGTCCTAGACAACTTCTCTCTCCAGTTTGGACAAAGGCAATAATGGTTAAGGGTTTCTGTGTAGGTGAAATGGGCGAAGGCCAAGGCTGAATCCCAAAACTGCACAGGCTGTGGCCCAGGTGTCCCCACAATGCTGAGAAGTAGAAACTAAGGTGAGAAAGACCC